CTCCAGCAGCCCCCGCAGCCGCCCCTCCTCCTCCTCACGGAGGCCGCGGAGCTTCTCCAGGACTCTCCGCATCTCCTCCAGTTCTCGGCTGATCTTCTCGGCACCCAGCGGAGAGGTGTTCCGGATGACCCCCACCGCCTGCGCCTCCAGCCGCCTCAGAGACTCCTCGCCCCTGGGGACGTCCTTGGCTGTGTTGTGGGCGGGGGGGGGGGCGCTGGAGAGAAAGCCACTGAGGCCCAGAGCCCGGTGAGAGCCGGCGGCACCGGTCCACGGGGGGCTGTCTGCCCCAGGTGCCCTGACGCACACCGTGAGGCTGTCACTCCCCACCCACCTCCTTCCCAGTCACCTCAAAGCCCAGGAGCACTTCGTCTCAGGGGGGCCCCGTCTTTAACACCCCGGACATTGGCTAGTCTGCCTTTCTAACAGGCAGAGCCGGCTCAGCAGAGCCTTCGGCCGCAGCCGCGTGGGGCCGGGCAGAACCCCACGACCCCGTGTGGTTGCAATCAAGTTTCTTTTTAAAATAAATGATCATTGGCTTTTAATTTTTAAAAACTTGTTCTACAAACACCTTTAAATCTATCTTATTTGAAATTGCCTTTAAAATGAAGTCTACAGGCCTTAGGTGTCACTGTTCAGAGTTTTGAGAAATAGGCATGCTCATGTAGTCCACCCTGTTATCAAGTCATACAGCATCTCCAACATCCTGGAAGATTCTAGAACTTATTTGAAATCATAGGAGATGTTCTCTATTGAAACTGGCTTCTTTCACTCATCATAATGCTTTTTCAGATTCTTCCATGCTGCATTTCAGTACTTCATGCCTTCTAATTATAATATTCTTCCATATATATAAAGAGTAATATGCAAATTGACAAATAACCAGAACGACCGCTCAACCAGTCGCTATGAGGCTCACTGACCACCTCTTGGTCCCTCCCCCAGCCAGTAGGCTCCAATCGCCCAATGGCAAACGGGGAACTGGGGGCAGGGGGCGGGGCCAGCTGCCGGGGAAGATGGCCCTGATCACAGGCCAGGCCTAGGGACCATACCCACACATGAATTTTGTGCGCCGGGCCTCTAGTGTATATATATGATATTACATTTATTCAATGCCCTACTGACACGAATCCGAGTTGTGTCCATCTGGGCTACCCTGACAGGCTCCCGTGTAAGACCCCTGGTCTAGACCACGCTGCCGTGGCCCTGGGCTTCCAAATGCCCTGCTGGTTCAGGGGTTTCCGTGAGGCGGCCGAGGCCCCAAACATTCGCCACCAGATTCCACGCTTCTCCTCGCGTGGGACCTGTGGGCGTGGAGGTCTGCACCTCCCTTGGCCTCGGCTCCCCGTGACATAAACGCGAACCTGTGCGGGCTCCCTGGCGGCCCTCCGTGGACACAGCCCGGTTACCTGCAGTGCCGAGAGCCGGCGGCCGGCGGGCAGCGAGCAGCTCCGTCCCACGCAGCCGTTCACCTTCGCCACCACCGCCTGCAGCCACAGCTGCAGCTCGTCCATGTCCGCCTGGAAGCGCTCATGCTCCTGGGTCACCTGCTCCAGCAGGTCCACTCGGTCCTGGGGAGGGGAGAGGACCGCCATGAGGGAAGCCTGGCCGCCTGGCCTTGGGGCCTGCGTGTGTGTGTATGTGTGTGTGTGCATGTGCGTGTGCGTGCGTGTGTGTGCGCGCGCGTGCATGTAGGGGATCTGGGATTCTGGGATATTTCAGCCCTTTTGCTGGAAATAAAGAAGTCCCAGACACCCTTCTCTATCTTTTTTTAAAATACATTTTTATTGATCTCAGAGAGGAAGGGAGAGGGAGAGAGAGAAACATCAATGATGAGAGAGAATCATTGATCGGCTCCCTTCTGCACACCCCACACTGGGGATCGAGCTCACAACCCGGACATGTGCCCTGACTGGGAATCTAACTGTGACTTCATGGTTCATAGGTCAACACTCAACCACTGAGCCACACCGGCCGGGCTCTTTCTTCTCATCTTCTTAGACCCAAGCATTCGGGGCTGGGCCTGTCCTGGGAACAGCACTCAGTCGGGGGCCTGGTAACAGCAACTGCTGCCCCAGACACTCACCCGAGGGTCCCTGCGGCGCCAGAGCCGCTCCAGGAGCGGCACGGACAGTATCAGCTCCCCGAACCCTCCCACCCACCCATCCCGGCAGTATTGCTAACCCAGTCCGACCGACAGGGAAACTGAGGCCCAGAGAGGTGAAAGGCTGTCCCAGGTCATCGCCTGCCGGGAAAGCACCGAGGGGCAAGCCCAGGGGTAAGGTTGGTCCTGGGGGTTCCGCCCGTGACGATGGCGTGTGCCCCGTTTCCTCCGAGGGCGGGAGGGCAGCTCTACCTTCTGACAGTCCCACTGACATTCTAACCACACGGGGACAAGATGGTCGTCTGAGGGGGGCTGACCTTGGGGGAAGTAACGGTGTTCCTGACAGAAGACCTACTGTGCGCCTAGGAACTCGGTTTTTCCAAAACACACCCTGATCACGGCACCATCTCTTTAAACCCCTTCCTGGCTCCCTCCTGACCCCAGGCTCAGGTCCAAGTGCCACAGCCTGGAGGTCAAGGGCAGACGCGGTCCAGACCCTGGGCTGGAGAGCCCATTGCCTGCGACTGGAACCCTGGCCCGCCTCGGGCCTCCCCATCGGTGTGGTGTGTTAACAGTACCTGCCTCACTGGGTGCCGTGGACTGAGTGTCAGAGCCGCAGCTCCCGCGAGCAGCACCGGCAGCCGCGAGCGCGAAGTGACGGAGCACTGCTTGCCGGCACCGCTGGCCTGCTCTGCGGGGCTACCCTGCAGCCCCCCTTCTCTGAAGAATCGCCCGCTGCCCGGGCTCAGTGAACAGCCTTCCCTGCTGTGGCTCCTGCTGGGGGACCGAGGCCCCCCCAGACAGGCTGCCCTCGTTGGGTTAGCCCCGGGGGCAGCTCAGGGCAGCCATGTGAAAGCTTCCGAGCAGCAGGAAGAGTGCAGGGGGCGTGTCTGCCAGCGGGGTTTTCCACGGGGGAATGAGGGGGTTTCCGTTTCATAAGCAGTTAAAAGCACCTGAGCGCCGACCGGCCTGGGCAACACGCTCCTGCGTAACCTTCACCACAACCACCAAACCCGCCATCACGCCAATGTCCAGCTGCGAGGTCACCCGGCTCGTGCAGGGCCTTGGAGCCAGGACTCACAGGGCCCGTGTCGGGCTCCCCGTCACAGCTCGAGACCAGGTTGGCCAACGGCAGACGGTTTGCTTCACCGCCCCGTGGTTTCTGTTGCAGCTACTCCACCTCCCAGGCGCCTCTCCTGCCCTAGCAGCTCAGAGGAGCAGCCCCAGGCACCACACCAAGGCGGGGTGTCTTCTGGTAAAACCAAAATTTTTACTTCATATTTATACATGTCATGGAATATTCTGGTTTTTTATTTTCCCCGCAATCATTCAAAAATGTAAAAACCACCCTAACTGGTTTGGCTCAGTGGATAGAGCGTCGGCCTGCGGACTGAAAGGTCCCAGTTTCAATTCCGGTCAAGGGCATGTCCCTGGGTTGCAGGCACATCCCCAGTAGGAGATGTGCAGGAGGCAGCTGATTGATGTTTCTCTCTCATCGATGTTTCTAACTCTATCCCTCTCCCTTCCTCTCTGTAAAAAAATCAATAAAATATATTTTAAAAAATGTAAAAACCACTTTTCGCTCACAGGCCAGGCGAAATCAAGAGGCGGGCTGGATCCGGCCTGAGGGCCGGGGTTTGCCGAGCTGAGCTCTCGGCCAGGGGGCCGGCCGTGCCCAGCAGCAGGTACGGATCAAAGTCAGAAGTTCTCAGCTGGGAAGTGTGGACAGACAGACTCAAACGCTTTCCTGCTGTTGCACCCGGCTTGAGAGGCTCCTTGTAAATGCAGAAACACTGATTCATTCCTTCAAACCTTTGCTACCACCATTGCAAGGAGGAGAAAATGCCCCCATTTTAGAGACGGGGAAACCAAGGCACAGGGCCAAGCCTTCAGCGAAGAGCTGAGAACCCTCTAACGGAAGCGAGGCTCGCAGCTTCAACAGCTCACGCGCAGACGGGAACACGCTGCTCAAACCCCAAAGGGGACTAGGGACAGCCGCTCCCTCGCGCTGCCCTGCCGGCTGCCCCTTCACGGCCATCTGCCTCCATCCAGCCTTCCTCCTCCCGCAGGAAAGGCTCGTTTATGAGACAAAGTGGGTCGTGAAGCACACGCAGGGGGTCAGTGCAGGTCGGCTCTGACGGTTACAGATGCTGTAATGAGGCAACTTCTCCAATGAGCGTGCGGCTGGCTGGCGTGTGCAGGTGCGTGTGCGTGTGCGTGTGCGTGTGTGTGTGTGTGTGTGTGTGTGAGATGAGGTGCTGGCACCCGGGACAGAGTAAATAAAGCCTCGGGGAGAGGCCCCGGACAGGACCGCGGCCAAGCAGGGCAGCCATCCAGACGAGCTCCGTGCCAGGCGGCGCGAGCAGAGAGCACGGTTCAGCCGCCGCCGGCCGAGGATGACAGGGTGACAAATGGGAGAGTGCGCAACCTTCGCTCGTTAGACCAAACAGCGAAGCCACCTGCGCCGGCAGAGTTGTCAGGATGTCAAAACCCAACCAGCCAACCAGGGCGGCGTGGACGCAGCTGGGCACGGGCGGCGTGGACGATGTGATTCCTGCCCAGATGCCGGACGAACGCCTCTGTGAGGCAGGAAACAGGGGAAGGGGACCCCGCCATGGCCCTGGCCCTTCAGGAAATGGAACCGCCCGACTAAAACCCCTCAGCGAAATAAACACGCAAGACCCCACTGGCTACCAGCCTGCTCTCTCCTCGCTGAGGACAGTGCTCCTGCTCACCCCCCCCTCCCACCCCCCGCAGGGCCAGGCGTCCTCATCAAGAATCTCCCTCCAGCCCGGCCGGTGTGGCTCAGTGGTTGAGCGTCGGCCTATGAACCATCAGTCAGTAGGTCAACCACACACATTAAGCACCACCTGTGTATGCAGCACGGAGTGACACTGGGTGTACGGATGGGAGATAATGGGTCGATGGGTGGGTGGGTGGTGGAGGGATAGTTGGATGGGTAGACAGAAGATTGGCGGGTGGGTAGTTAGGTAGTGAGTGGGTAGATGAGCAGATGGGTGATAGGTAGTGAGTGAGTAGGTAGGTGGGTGAAGGGGTCAACAGTGGTGGGTAGTCATAGTGGAGAGATGGATGGGTGAGTGGGTGGGTGAAGAGGTGGGCGGGTTGATGAGTAGGTGAATGAGTAGGCAGCTGGCTGGGAGGGGGAGTAAGTAGTTGTCAAGACGAATAGGAGATTAGGTTGGTGGTGAGCAGTGAGAAAAGAGATGTATGGGAGGGTGGGTACTTGCATAGATGGCTGGGCAGGTACGTGGAGGAATGAGGTGGTGAATGGGGGACAGTGAAAGGGAGATTTGGCAGTGCAGTGGGGACATAAGTGGGCGAGTGGACAGGGAGGTGGAGAGATGGATGAATGCTGGTGGGTGGGTGCTGGTGGGTGGGGAGTAGTGGGGAGTCAATGGGTGGCTGGATGGTCACTTAGCAAATGGTGGGGTAGACGAGATGGGAAAATGGCGGGAGGGTAGACAGCCCACGGCTCCCCCACCTGGGCTCTGGCCTTCACGGCCTCGTACTCGGCCTTCATCGTCCTCTGGGCGTCCTCGTCCACGCTGGGGTCCCCGATCCTGTGGAACAGGGAGGCCGCCTCCTCCAGCAGCCGGTCCAGGAGCACGGCCTGGTGGCTCACGTCGTGCAGCAGCACCTGGGCCTGGCCCAGCTGCCACTGCTTCTCCTTCAGGCCCAGCTGCAGCTCCACGGGCGGCGCCAGCGCCACCGTCATCTTCTGGAACCAGCGGTAGAACTCGTCGCGGGCCAGGAGGTACTCGCTCCAGTGCAGCCACACCCACTCGATGCGGCTGTGGGCGCAGAGACACGGGCCGTGACCAGCCGCTCACCTGGCTCCGGGGACGAGGGGCTGTGGGGGGGGACAGGAGGACGCCCTCTCGGGGCCTCAGAGCCGCCTGGGCAGCTCGCAGACACTCGGATTCCGGGCCTCTGTTCAGTCCTGCTGGACAGGACCCTGTGTCTGCTGAGTAAGCTCCAAGGGGCTAAGGGTCAGGGTGGCTCAATTCCAGATCTGCTCTGAGACCTGCAGCCTTGCTAATGCGGCTTATGGAGCCTTAGCTACCAGCACCCCAAATTCCAGCCCTAAACCCCCACCGGGAGTGTGTCTGATAATTTGCAGGGTACAGTAGTATCTGCGGGCTTGTCACCCCACAGTGGGGACATAAGGTTGAGGGCCTGCGTGTGGGCTCCAGGGACGCCATAAACTTGCTGCACAGCCCTGCCTCCTCACTCGCCTCAGTTTCCCCATCTGTAACATGGATGTGGCCCTGTCTGTCCGGTCACAGCGAGCCACTTTGGAATTCCAAGTGACAAGGGTTGAAAAGCAAAAGTGAAAGGTCCCCCAGCTCACTCAGCATCCTGGTTTTAAGATGGTGCCGGGCGGCGTGGCTCAGGGGCTGAGCGTCGACCTGTGAACCAGGAGGTCACAGTTCGATTCCCAGTCAGGGCACATGCCCGGGTTGTGGGCTCGATCCCCAGTGTGAGGCCTGCAGGATGCAGCTGATCAATGATTCTCTCTCATCTCTCTCTCTCTCTCCCTCTCCCTTCCTCTCTGAAATCAATAAAAAATATATTAAACAAAAAACGATGGAGCACCCGTTTGCTGAGGGCCTACTGTGTGCCTTGTTATCTCCCCCTTCCATCCTCCTGACAGCCTTCAAGGAACATCTGATTATACCCATTGTCTAGATGAGAAGCCTGAGGCTCAGAGAAGTCAAGTAACTTTCCCAAGGCCATACAGCAAGTAGCCGCCAGAGTGGGAGGCCCCCCTCTGTCCAACCCCCATCCAGCTCTGGCCTGGCTCCCCACAGGCCGAGAAGCTGGGCTAAAAGGCTAGCAGGAGACAGCCTCCCTCCCTCCTCCGGGGCCATTCTCCCATTCGGGGCCATTCCTGTTCTGCTGGCGATGGGCACATGACAAGTCAAACCAGAATTAATTGTTGGCAAAACAAGCTGGGCTCCCACTGTCTATTCTCATCGTTAAGCTTGAATATAATTAGAACGAGGCAGGCAGGACTGGCTAACATCCCAAGAGAACGCCCCGTTCCCAGCGAGCCCAGCACTGAAGGAATGTCCCTTGGGCGGGGGCGCCAGGCCAGGGTGGCAGTGGGCAAGCAGGGTCAGGGGCAACGGCAGACAAAGCTTGGCCAGGTCCCCGGTGGCCCTACCTGTGACAGTGAATCATGTAGGTGACCGTCTCCTCCCACTGGGCCTTGATGTCCCTTAGTCGCGCCAGGACCGCGGGCTTCTGGTCCTCGGGGCAGCCGGCCAGGCGCGCCTCGGCCGCCTGCAGCACCAGGTCCACCTTCACGCGCCCCTCCGGCTCCAGCTGGCATATTTTCTGTCGTGGGCACAAAAGCCAGTTTCCAGGGGTTAGACAGAGTGCGAGTGGGCAGAGCCACAGCCGGCGTGCGATGGAGGAGCCTGGACTCTGAGCCCGGAGGTGCTGGGGTTCGAACAGTGGCCCCCCACCTTCTCCGGGGCCCGGGGCAGCCTGCTGCGGCTCTGAGGGTGGGCGCCGGAGCGAGGGTTATGTAGGAAGTAGTCCGCTTGTAACGGAAACGGTTACTGAATTTCCCAGGGCAAACAGAGCAGGGGGAGGAGGGGAGAGGGTGTAAGAATGAAGAACTGTACATGACCAGCAGCACATTGTCCAGGAAGATCTGTCCGCCATGACTAGACAGAGGGAGGTGGAGACAACTAAAAAAAAAAAAAAAGGCCTCAGCCTGTATTTTTAAATAACCCAATAGGGACAATAAGACCGAGGTGACATGGGGGGAGGGGGAACTGTTAACCCCACAGTACTCCGCCAATGAGGAACCAAGGCAGGGACTCACACCGTAGAGATAAACAGCCTGTGATGGCGGCTCTGAGTGCGCCTGCTCAACCAGACACCGCTCTTGCAAGACCGCATTAAAGGTCTTGTGTTCGCCATACGTCATGGCTCCGGGTCCGCTATTTGAGTTCGGACAGGTGAGCGTCTCTCGCAGGTGAGCACTGAAGGACAAACTGTCTGATGACCTGAGTTCCCTCCCTTCCTCGCATGGCCCGTTCCTTGCTGTGTGAACTCAGACAAGTTTCATTATCTCCCTGGACTTGGTGTTATCATCTGTAAAATGGGGACGTTCAGAGTACTTAGCTCTCAAATTCTCTTTTCAGAATTAAATGACAAAGTACGTGTCACGGTGTGAGGCTGTGCTTCTCGGGTCTATGTGGGGAGCGGGGCTGACCTAGGACCCCAGCCAAGGCTCCAGAATCATCTCTGAGTTTGCACCAAGGCCTCGCCCCTCGGCTGCTCCCACCAGGGACCAGGCAGGAATGCTGAGGCTGGCCCGTTCCTGGGGAACAGCAGGCTCCAGTGAGGGGTGTCTGGTTCAGGATGACCCACGGCCTTGCCAAACCCCCTCAGAACGGTAAGGCAGTCTGAGTCGCTCCCCCTCCCCTGGACTCGGGCCCGACCTGCATTGGACGGGCCTCCTCCCTCCCAGCCTCTTGGGCTCCGGCCCCAGGAACATCCCACAGGTAATCTCACCTGGGCTTGGGCTGCTCGGAGGACCAAGACTAACAGACAACGTGCTAGCTATTGTCACTATTAACCGTGATCATTCCAGTTCTTTGGCAACAAAAGCTTGGTCCAATTCCAAGGCCACTCCCTGGTACTCCCGCTCCAGGCCTTGACCTGGGAGATGGCGGCTCCGCCCCAGGGCTCCAGGGAGCAGAGCCACAGGGAGCGCGTCAGCACTGGCCTGGCTCACAGCGCACTCACCAGGGCTGACTGCTCACTGAGATCATCTCCTTACCTTCGGGTCTGCGTGTACCTAAAGCTCCCGCCCCGCCCCAGCTGGTGTGCATGAAGGGGGCTGGCAGTCACGTTCACAGGCTGATGTCCCAGGGGCTGGCTGTCTCTGACCCTCCCTGTGGGTGCGGTGGGGGAGGAGGCCCACAGGTAGCTGTGTGATCCCAGGCAGGTCTCTCAACCACTCTGGGCCTCCCTTTCTCACCCTGAGATAACCATCCCTGCTTTGTCTACCTCACTGGGGCACTGCGCTGGGCACAGCTCTGGGCAGTGCACTGGGTACAGCTGTGGGGTCTGCACTGGGTACAGCTGTGGGCAATGCACTGGGCACTGGAGTCCAGGAGGAACAAACATGGCTGTGCCTGCAGGCTGGGGCGGTCTGCAGACAGGAGCACAGAGGCTGTAGAAGGGCCATGAGACACCATGTATTGCTGGAGCTCCACGGGGTTGTTGTTAAACTCGGGGGGGGGGGGGGGGGGGGGGGGGGGGGGGCGCGGAGGTGTCCAAGAGGGCTTCCTGTGCAGGCGGCACTGGCACGGAGCCTCCGTGATGGGCAGACGGTTGAGATAGGGCTTGAACGAAGGTGAAGCCAGCAGGAGCACGCACAGAGCGTTTAGGGACAGAGCGTCCGGCTTTGGGAAGCCAGGCCCCAGGAAATGCTGGCACCCCCCTGACCGGCTGGGAGGCACTGGCTACGCAGGCCCAAGTGCAGGCTTGGAGGCTGGGAGCAGACGAAGAGATGAGCCGGGGACCTAGGAGCTGCTCCCAAGCCCGGGGTGGCAGGATGGCCGCGTGCCTGAACCCCTGCACCAAAGCCACAGAAACAATGCCTCGGTGGGCGGCTCTGCCAGCGGGCCCTGCGCCGTGCCAGGCACGCCAGGCATCCTTCCCCTCAACCCTCCTCCCTCCTGCAAGGCAGCACCTCACCCCTTCCCGGGAGCCCGCAGCTCAGAAAACTCCCCAGGGTGCCACCGCCTTAGCCCCTCAGCCGGGACTCAAACCCAGGCCTGGGCCCCGGACTCAGGCTCTCAGCCTCTGAGTCCTGCTTCCGGGACCAACAGCCTCTCGGGCTCCCTCCCAGACGCCTCACCTCCATGCGGGCCCTGGAAGCTCAGCACAGGAGGGCCGAGTGGTTCTCCTGTCTCACTGATGGAGAACCAGGTCGTGGGAGGGCACGGGACTCGCTCCCGGCCACACACCTCAGAGCTGGATGGACGAGCACCTCCCGGCCACCCAGCCGGCGGGCCCTGGGCTGGGCATCACCGAGCTGGTGGAGGGGCCCCAGGGAGACGCTAGACGCCCAGGGGAGGTCCCGGACCCAGAGGCGAAGAAGGCACCAGCCACTCACTTTCACCAGACCACAGGAGTGAGTGTTTTTTTATTGCAAAGTCGGTTTTGAAATGTCAAAGCACATAGCAGATCAGCATCCCTGAGCCCGTGGGAGAGCGTGTGGGAGAGCTGGAGAGCCCCGAGGGCACACCCAGGACCAGGCCCCGCTCCCAGGCTCCAGGTCAGGTTCTGGGCTCCCCCCACCCCCGATGGAAGCGCTCCCTCGGCCTCCAGGGCCCACTCACCCTGGCCTCGCCAATGGCTCTTCCTAAGAACCACCCTGGCTTCCCTGAAGCCAGACCACCAGCCAGGTCATGACCTGCTGCAAAGGGTGCAGGTTCCAAAGGGACCGGCCCGAGACAGCGCGTGCACCACCAGGCGGTGGTGTCTGAAGGCAGAACCCCAGGGGCGGGGGGCAGTGGGGGGGTCAGGAGAGATGCGGGCAGGGAGTGTTTCATTTCACACCCACACCTGCACCCAAACCAAAGGTGTGCCAAGTAGAGGCAGCAGCACAGACAAAGGTGCAGTGATCGGCAGTTTAGGAGGTTTTCTGCCGACAGGAGGAGGCAGTGCTTGGAAGGTGGGGTTTTGGGGGTGAAGGGTGGGGGCAGGGCGTGAGGCTGGAGAATAGGGCTGTGCAGACAGTGAGTGACTTTTCCAGGTGACGTTGGTATTTCTTCGGTGGGCAATGGGGAGCCACGGGTGGTTGTAGAGGAGGAGAATAACATCACCAGATCCTTGCTATGGATGGATGTTCCTCATTCGTGCTTGTGTGGCCGCCCGGACCATGTGCACACCTGTGCCCTGTTACACTGTGAACCTGAGCACAGGGCCTGCCTCACCCACCTCCCCTGCCCAGGTGTCCGCACTCAGCCCTGGATTCAAGCCTCAACCAGATCAACGCCTCGGATTTGGGCCCGTCACTGTGTCTAGGAATGCGTCTCACTATTGAAAAGTGCGGACAATAAAAGCACCCTCACAGGGCTTTTGTGAAATGAAACTGGAGCCCGGATAGTGTGGCCGTGAGCACAGTGGGTGCTGAATGAGCCTCAGCTCCCCGCTCCCAGTGCCCCCGCGAATAATCATCCGATCATGAGGAGCTGTCGTCTGAGGAGGGAAGGGGCTCTGGGCTGCCAACTCCTGTCCCTCAGTCCCCGACCTTCCAAACCTCCAACCCACTGCCCCTCTGTTATGGAAGAAGGCCGAGGGCCTCGGCTGGTATTCCAGGCTGCCACCCTCTCACCCCGCCCCCTCTACACCTCCATACGCCCTGAGCCCTGCTTGGTGCAAGGGGGCAGGGGGACCAGGCCCTGGAGAAGCCAAAGGAGTCACTCTCATGGGGCACAGCCCCTCCCCAGGCCCCGAAGGCCAACCTGGGCCCTCCCAGACCTGGCCACAGGGAGGAGGGGAGCCAGGGCTGGGCCAGCTGGGCTGGGGGCCCACCTGGCTGTGCGTGCCCCTGCCAGGCCAGAAGGGCCAGAGGGGGGCTCTGGACCCTTACCCTGAAAGTGGCCCAAGGGCTGGAAGCAGTGGGTCCCCTGGAGCATCTCAGAAATGCCACCTTCCGGGCCCGCCCCCCTCCGGGATCAGAATCTGCACTTAAACCCCAGTCCCCGGGAGGCTGAACACCAGAGTCTGAGGAACATTAGCGAGTCCCCCCGCCCCGTGACAGTCCCCATAAACCTGGGGCTGAGCTGGAGGGACCCTGGCCCCGCCACAGGGGCGAGGCCAGGCCTCTGCCTACCTCGGTCTCCCGCAGCCGGGCCTCCAGGGCGGCCCGGGGCCCCTGGGTGTTGTCATTGATCTGCAGCCGCTCCTGCACCGCCTTCATCCACTCCCGGGCGTCCTCCACGCTGCCCTCGAAGCCCTCCTGGGGCTGCTGAGTCATGGCACCTGCGGGCTGGAGGCAGGACCAGGTGAGAAGGGGCAGGTGGATGGGATGCAGGGGGCCCAGGGCAGGCAGATGGGGGCCCAGGGCAGGCGGATGGGGGGCCCAGGGCAGGCAGGTGGGGGCCTAGGGCAGGTGGATGGTGGCCGTGAGGATAGGGGAGACTGTGACTATGGACGGGTCCACCCCACCCCTGTGCTCAGACAGGGGGACACCGTCCGGGTGATTGTGTTTGTCAAAGAGCCGAGGCCTGGAGACGGGCAGGAACGGTGCACAGGCCTGGCTCTCCTGTGGGGGAGCCTGACAGCGGGCCCAGGGCGCCCGGGAGGCGGGGACTCTCTCTGGCTCTCAGCCTCCCTGCTCCGGGCTCTCCCACCTGGGGACACAGGGGACCGCCCTCTGACCCTCAAACGCAGTGGCCTGAGGTGTCAGCGACAGATAATGAATCTTGATCTGAATGAATCAAACGCCTCAATTTCAGAAACCACTTTTGGCATCAGCCAAGCTGACACTAGCCCCTGAAAGTAACATGCCAGGCGGGACGGCCCGTTAGCCCCGGGCCTCGGGCCTGCTCGTCCACCAACCAGGGCTCCCGGCGACATCGCTTCGCCGAGCCACACACCACCTGCCCTGGGAGGCCTGCCTGCTGGTAGGTGTCCGGACTAACCAACCCCTCTCTGCACTGCCCGCCCTCCCTCACCCTCCCCTCCAAGGTGCGTAAATTCTCTTTCTCTAAACCCCTCCAAGCGCAAGCAAAACTCCCCTGAATGCCAGTCCTTGTTGTCTGTGTATGGGAACTCCAAGCTACTTTGGATTAAAATTCTTTAAATCTGCATTTTAGGTAAAGGATGTGTCTAGCTTATCCTCCAGTCTCCCATAATGCCTTGCCTTCAGAGTAAGCCTTCAGCGAATGTCGTTGAAATAGCCCAGAATTGGTATAAAGTTTCATGCACCCGAAACCGACCACAGCATTAGTTAAAATGGCAAAACAAGACAAAGCAAAACTAGCAACAATCCAACTGCCCGATACCAGGGGGTGGCGTAGGAGAGAAGTGCACTACACTTAGGCTTCGGAATATTGTGCAGCCAACGAAAGTATATGCTGCAGGTGAATTTGTGGTGGAGAATTCTTAGCGTCAAATGACAGCACCAAAAACCGAGACAAGACGGTACATGTGGTGGTCACAGCTCTACAACCAATACAAGCAAAACAGAACCACCACCACATAAAAACGGTGTAGAGACAGGTTGGGAGGCCTTGCCGTTGCATGTTCATGGGCCTGGCCTGCGTGAGGGGCGTTGTTTGTCGGCCCTTTCTTCGCAGCCACCAGTGGGCTGTGCAACAGGCGTGGACTGGACTCTGGGCACCCTCCCCGGAGCCCTGCACGGGGCAGGCTCTGCCCTCGAACACTTGGAAGGGTGCCCGCCGCGAGGGGGAGCGGGTGCCCAGGATGGGTCCACCCACCACCCACCACCCACCCTCCAGGGCTCAGCCTCCCAACCAGGCTTCCTTTCAGAGCGGCTTGGGTTTCTTCTCACAATTTAATCCGCTCCCCGCAGCCACGCCCAGGCTGTGAATGCTCCTGGGAAAAGCCGTCTAACATGGTGCCTGTGGCTTTCACCTCCTGTCTAGGGGGTGACTTGATCGGCTTCCAAAAGCTCCGCTTTCATTTGTATAAAACGAGACCCAGGAGAGAGGAGTGAGGCTCCCAGGTTTCAGCCGCCAGGGCGATGGGAAGCTCTAGTTACCAGAAGGCAGTGGGGTTTGACGACCCTCCCAGGGGGATGCCCGGGCCCCTGAGGCCTAGAGGTTTGGGGACCCTGAGGTACATCAAATGGAGCACAGGGTCCGTGGGGGCGGTGGGGCTCGGGCAGGCCTCCGACCCACGGATCAGCCCCTCGGACGGGCCTAACCCCCTGGGGGCGTGGTGAGGTGGCGGCAGAGTTCAGAGGCTGCGCTTCATGTCCTGCTCCCACAAACCCCTCCCTTCCAACTCAACCCACCTGGAGATGCCCCGAGGGAAAGTGCACGTGGAACAGGGTGGGGGTTGCGGTGGGTGAGCTAGACGCCGGTGGGGGTTGTGAGTGGAGTGGGCTGGGCTCTTAACCTTTCCTGTGGACTCCTCAGAACAAAGGCTTGGGAGGCGGAGAATAAAACTCGGAGGGTTACGGGGGAAACCGAAGTTAAAACACAGTTATCGCATTATCGCCAATGGAATTCCTGCGACCCCTCCACATACTTCTTCATGAACACGTTCCATCGCAAGACCTGTCCACGGGTCGCTATTGAAACAGGCTTTCTCTCTAAAACGCAAATCCACTCGCCCACTTCAGTGATCTGTGGCAGCATGGTCCACCCACTGGCCCCCAGGCCCCAGCGTGACCCGTTTCCAGCCCCTCACCACCAAGCCCAGGCAGACGTGCCGTTCTCAGCGGGCAGCCCCCTCACCAGTCGGCACAGCCAGCACCGGGCGAGACCTCTGTCCCCTCTGCTGAGAGCACGCTCCCTCCCCAAGGCCTCGCCATCGGCCATTCGCCATCCGAGGAGGCTCCTTCCTCGCTCAGCGCCCGCTGCCAGTGAGCGAAGTGACCGTGACCAGAGCTTTGGGAATGTCAACTACAGAAACCAACGAGCAAAGCAAGCACTGTGCAGTATGAGGCCGAGCGGGGCGGAGGGGCCTCCGAAAATCAGACAGGAGAGGAGGAGAGGACCCTGGCCTTGGAGCAGGCGCCGCGGCCTCTCTGGGCCTCCGTTTCCCCTCTTTCCCCTGTGAGTGTGGCACAGGGCATCTGAGGGAGGGACCTCTGAGGCTGTGGGTTGAGATCTGTGAGCCAGGCCGCGCCTGGCCCTGAGCTGGGCCGAGGAGTGGCCTCCGCCCTCAGCTGTCAGCCTGATCTGGCCGGGCCCCTGGCTCCCCAGGGCGCCCCTCCTCCGCCAGCACAGACCAGCACCGGCCCCTCCGAGGCAGGCCCAGAGCCTTCCGGGCGCTGCCCAGGGACCTTCACAGCAGCCGGACTGCTCTGTTTTTGTTTAGCGTTGGACAATACATATTTTTAGACTTTGCAGGCCACATGCAGTCTCTGTTGCACATTCTTTGATTTTACAGCATATTTTTGCTTTAAACATGCAAGACCCGTTCCACATTCACTGGCTGTATTACTAGTAAAACAGACGGCCAGCCCATGTGGCCTGTGGTTGTCCTTTGCCACCCTCGCTTTCCGTGGTCCAAGGCTGCAGCCAGCGGCCGCAGGGAGCCGCCGTGGCCAGCGGACGGCAGGGCTAGCTGGCGGAGGGTAGGTGTCGAGGCCAGAAGGACCTAGGATTGGTTCTGGGAGCCCCGGCCCAACCATTTTGGCAAAAAGAAAAAATGTGCTCAGGATTTTAAAAAACAACACAGACTTTCATTTCCAGGTCCCAGAAGCAGCTCTGGGTGTGGCTTCGGGCGTGTCTCTGGGCAGAGGACACAGCCCTTTCTGGTGCCAGCTGGCGTGGGTCCGGGCAGGAGGCAGTTAGCACGGAAACGGCCTGGTTCCCAGCATCGGTGTAGTTATCGCGAAGGACAGCCGGGCGCGCAAGGACTTTATTTTCCCGAATGCAAGGTTGGGTCAGGGCAGGCGATGGCACGGTCACGACAAAGCACATCTCAGGTCGAACCTGGATCAAAGCCATTGGTCAAAAACAGGGACCTTTGTAATACTTTCAACAATAAAGATTTATTTTTAAAAAGCCACTGATCGGCCTGTGAGACTGACCGGTCCACAGAAGGTGGCGAGACCCGGGGGCGCCGCTGGGGACACGCTTCCCCAGGAACGGACTGTGAGGCCGAGAAGCTTCCAGAATCTGAGTCATCAGCTCAGCAGGGGGAGAGTTTAATTCTTTTCCATTATTTAATATGTTTTTTTAATTGATTTCAGAGAGGAAGGGAGAGGGAGAGAGACAGAGAAACATCAATGATGAGAGAGAAACGTTGATCGGCTGCCTGCACGCCCCCTACTGGGGACCGAGCCCGCAACCTGGGCAGGTGCCCTGACTGAGAATCAAACTGTGACCTCCTGGCTCATGGGCCGACGCTCAACCACTGAGCCACACCAGGTGGGCAGGAGCGTTTAATCTGAGTCACAGGGAAGTGGTAGAAATATAATTTTTTTAAAAAGTGGGTGGTGGACGGAAAGGTGCTGGAGAAGGGGACATGGACTTAAACCAAAAAGCCAGCCAGGCGAGAGGCGGCGCTGGCCTTTCCCCTTCAGTTGCCCCTTCAGTCCTCGGCGTCTGAGAGGCAGGTCATGGTCACGGTCGCGCAGGAGGCAGCAGGGGGAGCAGGGAGGCTGAGCAGGGTCAGCGGGGGGACCTCAGAGCTTCCTCCCCCACCTGCTCCTTCCTCTCAGGACGCTGCGGGCATCGCGGGGCACCTGCTCAGGACAGGGCTGCCCTCACCTTCCCCATCGCAGGCACGGACGCCGAGACCGAGTGACCGGCCGGGGACGCAGAGCCGTGGCAGCATTAAGGCTTGAACCTGGCTCTGTAGGATTCCAGCGCCCCAGTTGGTCTCGCTGACCACACTGGCTCCAAAGGCAGGTCCGACTCCACCGCCCATCACAGCGCCGAGCGGGCCTGGGAGGACCGGCCAGGGTCGCACCCTGAGGGTCGCACCCCTGAGGGGACCCGCTCTGAGTCCAGCTGTGAGCCAGGGGCACTGGAGCTGCCAGGGGACGAAAGGGGACCAGGATCGGCCCCTCCCCCACCCTGATCCTGGGGGATGGTGTTGGGGGGGAGGGACGACATGAGGAGGTGGCATTACCAGACCCGGCCGGGCCCTCGGAGCAGCAGGCCCCGGGCCCCAAAGGAGAGCGGCCCCAGGCAGGGAGGACAGGCTTTCGCTGTGGGAGAAACCCCTGGGCTGGCAGGGAGCCTGGCTCTGAGGCCAGGGGCCGCCCCTGTGCCCGGGGCAGAGCACAGGGCAGGAGGAGTGGCCATAAGGCCCCAGCCAGGCCGGCCCAGGCTGTCCGTCTGGAAACTGCGAAGGAAGCAGCCCCTTTTGCCCTGATTTGGGGCCCCCTGAGCCGCTGCTGAGCTGCAGCTTGGTCTCCGGGGAACCAGCCTTTGCAGGAAAAACCACAGGATCTGGCACTGACAGGAATCTCCTGGCACTGCCCGCCAGCCGGAGCAGCCACGATTGTCAACTGGGGCTCAGAACTCCGTATCCTGGGGGTGGACTGGCATGAACCACCCCCCCACTTCTCCTTCCTGGGCCTGTGAAGGAGGTGCAGGCGGAGGTCCATACCGGGTCTGCGGTGCCACCAGGAAGGGGCAGACACCCCATAAGGGCGAGGATGGAGCAGCCCCCACCTCGATCCCTCCGACACATTCCCGGGAAATGTGCAGACCCCAGACCACCACTGCCATCCGGTGATCCAGGCCCCCCAAGAATCCTGCTCGGACTTAACCACACCCAGTAGGGACACCCCTACAATATGACCCCAAAACCCTTCCAAGCAGAGACGGGGGGGAAGTTGGGTTCCCAGAGTGGCTGCCATGTGGCCGGTATCACCACGTTATAAAAATGGCCGCGGCCCTGACTGGTTTGGCTCAGTGGATAGAGCATCGGCTTGCAGACTGAAAGGTCCCAGGTTCGATTCCGGTCAAGGGCATGTACCTTGGCTGCGGGCACATCCCCAGTGGGGGGTGTGCAGGAGGCAGCTGATCGATGTTTCTCTCTCATCGATGTTTCTAACGCCCTACCTCTCTCCCTTCCTCTCTGTAAAAAATCAATAAAATATATTTTTTTAAAAAAATGGCCTCGAGCCCACCCGAAGTGGTGGATCCAGGACTCGCCGGAATAATCGTAACCGCCAACGTGTCCCTGGCAACCCGTGTGCCTGGCTCGGTGATAAAGGGTTACCGCCCCCTGCAGAGGCCCGGTGAGATGCTTAGTCCCATCACTACTTTAGAGCTGAGAACGCTGAGGACCAACGATAGGTATCCACAGAGGGATGGTGAGGGGCGGAGCCGGGACTTGAACTCGGGGTGGCCTGAGTCCAGAGGCTTTGCTCTTCAATACCATAGTGCGACCTGGCTTCCACGCCCTGCCTGTACCCCCCCCCAGAGCCCACGGAGAGCTGCCCATGGGTGCGGGAGCCTGGGGCAGCCAGCCTTCCAGGGTCACCTCCGTCCATGCTTCTAGTTCCAGCAGCCGTCTCCTGGACATGCATCGGGGCCTCCGCTTACGCATCTAGAATTGGAGACAATTCGGAGGCCCCAGCTGCCCACACGGGGCCTGGCCACTCGGCCCTGTGCCAGCCCTGCTACCCGCGGGCATTTGGTTCTGGGACCCAGAAGCCTTCCGGAGTCAGACCCGAGTCAACTCCCGCTCCCACAGCAGGCAGTGACGGCCTGGCATGCCTGCTCCCCCAGCCTGGCCCGGGGCCCTCACCCAGACTGAGCCGGAGGCCAGGCCCGGTGTCCTCCCATCCCGTGACTCGCTCGGCTTCCCCGTGACTCAGCCTGCGCTGCCACACACAGTTTCCATCGCCCCGTTCCCACTGCTCCTCCGGGCACAGATGGAATGTCAGGAGCTGCGTGCGGCTGGTTTTCACCCAGCGCTCGTCCCAGTGGCTGCCGGGGCCGCGCGTGTGTTTGCTTGTCACAGACAAGGTTCTGGAGCAGCAGCCGCTCGGAGCACCGCACAGACCCCAGGAGGGTCCCGGGAGCTCTCTGTCCCGGGCGTTTGCAGCGGTTCTGAGAGCAGAGAGCGCAGAGGGAAGGAGGGAGTCTCCAGCAGTGTCCTAACACCTTATTCTATTTCACAGCCTCCACGGGAGCTGAGCCCAGGCGGGAACGATGGGGGGCTCTCTCCTGCCTGAGAGGTAACCCCAGGCTGCGCCAAAGCCACCCGATGGCAGGGCGGCTCCCCCACCCTCTGCCACTGGCTGCGAACGCACGGGGGCTGGGAGGGCCCCCACCATCCAGCCACAGAGGGGATGGGCCGGCGGCTGCTCTCCTGACACGTGCTGAGGGCGGCTTGCCATCAGCTCTCCATCACCGATAAGTGGAGTTTGGCCGTGAAAACCAGCTGCTCTCTGGCCCAGCGACTCCCCCGTATACCTTGACTATAAAGCAGCATTTCCAATTGCTCTGAAATCCCCACCCCAAGCTCTCCTTCACTGATAAATGGGGTGTGGCCCAGCGACTCCCCCATATACCTTGGCTATAAAATGGCATTGCCAATCGCTCTCAAATCCGCTATGGCAGGGCGGCTCCCCCACCCTCTGCCACTGGCTGCGAACGCACGGGGGCTGGGAGGGCCCCCACCATCCAGCCACAGAGGGGATGGGCCGGCGGCTGCTTTCCTGACACGTGCTGAGGGCGGCTTGCCATCAGCTCTCCATCACCGATAAGTGGAGTTTGGCCGTGAAAACCAGCTGCTCTCTGGCCCAGCGACTCCCCCGCATACCTTGACTATAAAGCAGCATTTCCAATTGCTCTGAAATCCCCACCCCAAGCTCTCCTTCACTGATAAATGGGGTGTGGCCCAGCGACTCCCCCGTATACCTTGGCTATAAAATGGCATTGCCAATCGCTCTCAAATCCGCTAAACCCAAGCTCTCCATCAAAAGGCCGAGTCTGGAAGACAAGATTTCCGCTCTTTAAATGCTGTCCTTAGCACTGCATCGCCAAATAAATATAACTCTGGGAGGGAGAGAAGGCACAGGGCAACTAAGAGAGGGGGGGTGGGTGGAAGGGGAGGGGAACAGAGGCTAGACTGCCCAGAAAGGAGGGGCGATCAAAGGGGGGTGCTTAGCTCCAGGGCTCCCGGCCATGGTTCTGAGGAGTCCTGGCCACAGGGTCAGAGCCGGCCGCTGGCAGCATGGCTGCCAGGGGAGGGGGGTCCTAGAGTCTGGGGGGCAGGGTCTGGCCATTGGTTGCAGGTCAGAGGGCCCTGGACAGGACATCGGGGAATGGGTCTGGGCCTCATGAGACACTGACCACCTCGGACCACAGGCGAGAGGCTGGGCAGGCCGAGCAGGCACCCGCTGGCCTCTGCTTCTTCAGAACAGCGAGCGTCGGGTCGGTGCTGGGGTCTCGCACTGCGGGTCACACTCCAGCCCCACGCTTCAGCAGCCACAGCAGCCCCTGCACCCCAGGTTCCTGCACTGCTGCCCCTTGTGGCCGGTGACAAGGCCCCTCCCTCAGACCATCTGGTCCGATGTGGCTGAGCCTCCGGGGTGTCAGCAGCCTTCCCACGCCTGCCCTCGCCTTCCTGCCCAGGTGACCACAGCAGTGTCCCCACAGCATGGCAGAGCCTCTCCCCGGCCCTGGGGATCACAGGTGCCTCCCGCCTTCTCTCGGGAGGAATTGTCCCCACAGGCATCAGTCATACCTGAACCCACCAGACCTGCCCGGCCGCCTGGCCACCCCTCCCTCCGAGCCCGCGCCCCATCCCTGCACTGTCTGGGCCGCAGCCCAAGGCAGCAGGTTTGACCACACACACCTCACCACACTCCTCCTGTGTCCCCTGCATGCAAATACATGTGAGCAGGACTTTCAGAGAAAATGCTGGCTGCACAGGGACCCACCCTCGGAACCTGCTCTCCTCACGGAGGGCCTCAGGATGAGGGCCGTCTCCGATGAACCGATGAAACGTCTTTCCTCTCAGAGCACTGCCCCAAGCACAGGCCTTTTCCTGTGCTGTTGGCTTTCATTAGAGGAAACAGTCAAGACTTCTCACAGAATCCTGTTCTCCAGAGAAATCCCTCAGGCCCTGGAGAAACCCTGGCTGGATGACGAAGCCAACACTCCCCAGGGCCCCGATGTGGCTAGACCAGTGGTCGGCAAATTGCGGCTCAGCAAACCTCGGCTCACGAGCCACATGCGGCTCTTTGGCCCCTTGAGTGTGGCTCTTCCACACAATACCGACTTCTGCGCATGGGCCACGAAGTTTCAATCGCACTGTACGTGCGTGCCTGCACGTCGTATTTTTTGGAAGAGCCACACTCAAGGGGCCAAAGAGCTGCATGTGGCTCGCGAGCCGTGGTTTGCCGACCACGGGGCTAGACGCTTAGGGTCTGAGTGTTGCCTCCCCAGCTAGTTCTGCCTGGTAAGTCCTCCCGCACCCCACCCTCCTCACCTCCTTCCAGAAGACACCGCCCTGTCCCCTTTCAAGATCCAGGTCACAGCCACTCGAGGGGGACTTCCCAGCTCCAGCCACCAACAGAAACAGCCCCTCCCTTCCTTGGGTCCCCATGGGGCCCTCTGTAGCATGTTTACTAAGCGTATTACATGGATTTCCCCGCATTCTCCCCACAACAACCATAGGAGGTAGGTACAAGCACCGGTCCCCTCTCACAGGGAGAACACGGGGGCTTAGGGGGGCACGGTGAGGTCAGCAAGCACGGGCGGGGCGGGCCCAGCTCCTCCACCGCCCTGTCTGGACGTCACTCTCCTATTTGCTGGCACAAACCAGTGCGTTCTCTGAAGGAGGCCAGCCAGCTTCCTCTCAGTGACTGGTGGGCTGCAGCGGGGTGGCCTTCACTTTTAACAGCATTATGGGGGCATCATTGAAAAACAGTAAGTGCACTCAAATTGTACAAACTGACAAGTTTGACATCTATACGCCCCTAAAAGCTTCACCCCAAAGTTTCCCGACCCCATTCTAATTCCTCCCGCCTGCCCACACCCCGTCCCAGCACCTGCGGGGTACTCACTGTCCCTAGAGACGAGTCTGCATTTTCGGGGGGGCGGGGGTGGTGGTTACACAAATGGGAGGCAGAGTATGGACTCTTTCCTGGTCCGGCTTCTTCCGCTCAGCACGACTGCTCTGAGACTCAGCCACGCTGTTGCCTGTGTCAGTGGGTCCTTCCTTTCCGTTGCTGAGAAACACTCCACAGCGTAGGAGACCACGTGTTTCTTCACTACCCACTGGTGGACAGTGTGGGGCTACTGCAAACAAAGCTGCTCTGACCGCTGTGTGTGGACATAAGCTTTCGCTTCTCTTGCAGAAGCGCCTGGGAGCGGAGTGGCCGGATCATCCGGAGGCGTGTGTTTACATTTTTAAGAAACTGCCACGAAGCGGCCACACCTCTTTACGTGGCCACCAGCGCGTGGGAGCTCCATTCCACACATCCCCCTGTGGCCAGTGTTTAATCCTAGCCCATGGCATCTGGGCGGCCATAGCTCACTGTGGGTTCAGTTGGCGGTTCCAGGTGGGGCAGCGCCCCATTGACATCAGCGGGTGTAACTTCAGGGCACCTGACTGGGCTCCGGGCTCTGCGCCGAGCATGCCCAGGCCCCGCCTACTTGAAGGCTATTGGTGGGCTCAGCTCCAGCTCATTCCAGGCTCCGCCTACTCAAAGGCTATTGGTGGGCTCAGCTCCAGCCACCCCAGGCTCCGGACTCAGCTCCAGCCACCCTAGGCTCCGCCTACTTGGTGGGCTCAACTCAAGCCCACTGGCTGGAGGCTAAAGGAGTGAGGGGCTGAGTGACAGGGACACGTGCAGGCGGCAGGAGCCTGCTCTAATTCCAAGGGCTGCCAGAGGACTCCTTGAACAGGCGGAGGGTTCTCTGAGGACAAACCAGGCGCCCTGAGCCAACAGCCAAGAGCCTGTAAGAACAGATAAATGAATGGAGTCCCGTGTGAGTGTGTGTGTGCATGTGGTGTGTGTGTGGGGGGGGGGCGCTCTCTGAGCTCCCAAAGAGTGCTCGCTGTTAGCAAGGGGCACGCACACTGCCAAGGAACCCTGCTCTATCAATGCGCAGGACTGCAGCGATCACCTTCCGTTCTGGCAACTTAAAGCAACTGCACCGTGTCACCATGTTCCCACATGCCAGAGCCCTGGGCTATAATAAGCAACACGGGGCCACAGCACCCGGATAAAGGCTACACCCTTCCAACTGACAGTGCTCTGGAGCAAATGTCCCACAGGGAGGTGCCACTGAAGCTCCACGATGTGAAATCACTTTCCAAAGCATGCAGAGCTGGGACTGAAACTCGGGCAGCCTGTACCTGGACACACGTGGTCAGCACCCACATGGTCCGCGGGGTAGGGCTGGCTGAGGAGCTAAAGGAGCCAGTCAGGTCATCGCCCTGCTGGATGGCGGATGCCATTACCTCACCTGACCCGGAAGGCAACTACAGTGGCTGCCCCACAGCTCAACCTGACAGTCTTCAGATGCTGCCCAGAGCACATGCTGACATTCGGGCCAGTGTTCACACGTGGCCCGGCCCGCACAGCTGTGTTTTGCCATCCGCCCACTTGCACCTGCAGCCCTGTGACTATTGTGGATGTGTTTGTCTTCCCATTAGGCTGGCACCCCGGGGCGGAAGCCGTGTCTCATCTGCTGTGTGTAGCCCGGCCTGGAGCACAGCAGGTGTGGAGGAGGACGGTGCTGCTCACTAACTGAGCACAACATCAATGTTCTTGGAGAGGCTGGGCTGGCTCTCACCGGGCCGGGCCGGGCCAGGTGGGGAGTGGCTGGAACTGCCCAGCTTTGAGACTGGCTCTGATCTCAGGCCGCCGGGCTGGGCCTCACGGGATGAGGGGATACCCCAAGGAGCAATGAAGGTTCTACACCCTGAGGGGAGTCTCAGCGTGTCACAGTTGGACCACTGCTTAGGAATCCTTCCATCTAGCTGTGCCATTTTACAGATGTGGAGACTGAGGCTTAGAGAAGGAAAGAGACCCACCCAACACCTTGTAGCGGCTCAGTGTCAAGCATGTGGCCAGGATGCCTTTGGCATAAAGACATCCTGTGCCTCAGATGGGGAGGAGTATACTTTTGCGAAGTGACCCACAGATAACCAGCTACCACATTTACAAACAACTCATTTTCAGCAAAGGTGCCAAGACAACTGAATGGGGAAAAACAGTCTTTTCAACAAACGGTGCTGGGACAACCGGACATCCATATGCAAAACCGAGGCCAGCCCTCCCAGTCACTGAGCATGTATGAGGGGCAGTCAATATACCCCTCCCTCTGCAGGCACCCATTGCCTCACCTGACCCATAAGGCCACTTTGAAGGTTGTCGTCACTGTCGCCATTGCAGAGGTGAAATAACTTGACTTTAAAATTTCAGGGCTGGTCCCTGTTACTGCCGAGGGGGAAATGAACTTGCGATGACTGGACTCAGAGCCACAAATGACCCAGTTGCTTCTAGCCAGATGCTTCAGAGAACCCGACACCATCCCAAGTCCAACTGGTCTTATGAGCATTACATGCCGGGCACGAAAGTTTCCCATCATGGGATGCGACAAACAGAGACAAAAAGAGAGCAGAGTGTGGCCTGACAGGATGGGCCAAACGCTGGCGTGGGGGTGGGGGTGCGGCCTCCAAAGACGGCATTGGCCACGGCATTGGCCACGGGAGGCCCACTGCCTCTGGGCAGCCTCGGAGGAAATGAGCTGAGCGAGGCCCCCGAAGCAGCCACAGAGCCTCGCACCAGGTCCCGGCCCAGGGAGGCTGGCTGCGCTTGGTATCTGGAATCCTTGTGAGATGCTACTCAGTTCCACGCAGCTGCCTTTGCCGAGTTAATAATACAAACACCTTTCATACTCGGCAGAAAGGCGTTACCACTCATG